GCATGCCCCAGCCCATTTGGCTCTGCTGGGCTGGAGGAGGCCTCGGCTCAGAAGGCATCTTGGCGTGCTGCCAGCCCAGGTGCTCCGTATTCAAAAGGACTGACACTCCCTCCATGTCCTCAGCCCAACCTGCTCTGCAACACAGACAAAGGAGCTGCTGGAGCGGGCTCTCTGTAAACAGCTGGGATGACATACACCGAGGAGGCACCTTTCACACCTGGCAGGGCTTGTCCTGCGGGCAATGCTGAGGAAAGCCAGCCTCTCCTTGTCAGCCAAAGATATCTCGAGCCCAAGCACCCTCCTGAACAATCACCTGGGGCTGCCAGGCAGAGATGGCTGGGGTGCTGCAAGAGCCCTGTCCACCCCTGGGAAGATGGCGGGGAGGGGGCAGGAAGTACGTGGGCGGGAATGCTGCTTCCCCACATGTGCTGAGATTCTTGGCCCACACTCTTAGCCTGCAGGCAGGGAAGCCTTGGGGACGCAATGAAGTCAGGTTTTAACGGACTTCCAGGTGGTGCTATTTTTACTTCTTTTAACTGGGGCTGCTGCTCACCTCAGGCAGAGCTCAGCTGCACCGCCAAGACACGGCCAGGCAGGAGGACGTTTCATCTCCAGTCTGCTGCTGCCCTTTCTTCTCCTGGCGCTATAAGACAGTCCTGCCATTGGCCCACCTAATGCAGCGTTGTTGACTCTGACTGGCAGTGCCTTGGCAGGCGAAACCATACTGAGATGTGGTTGGTTGGGTGCCATGACCGTCCTCCCCCTCGCATTGGACCCCAGACATTTAGCTGGCGTCTGCTGCAGGGATGCTAATTCTTGTTGGATCACTTACGATTGTGGATTTTTGCAATAGTTTAAATCAAATTATTGCATTTAAGGGTTTAGGAGTTTTGATCTGGACTGCTGGATGAATGCATGTGTTGCTGTTCTAGGGCAGAGCACTCTCCAGGCAGCCAGGAAAAACTGGTTTCAACTACATAAACATTTAAAATATACAACATGGGTCCTCACTGTTGCTCTATCTTGCTTTCTCTGGAAATTGCTTCAAGAAAGGCATGGGAGGAAATGTTCACGTTGATACAAAGGGAGAAGGCATTTCTGGTCAGATCTGAAGGGATATTATGGCAGCCATGCTCTGTACCCTGGAACCATAAAGCAAGAAGGCTTTATTAAGCAGTATCTTCAATGTGAGGATCGTCTGGCTAAGTCTCAGAGTGTTTCAGTGGAGATAATCATTGACGTATTCATTGTTATGCTACAATGTGACAGCAGGCATAATAACTGAAAATGGTAAAATGGATTGGAGAGGAGCTAGCTCACACCAAAGGGGTCCCAACGTGGCTAGTTGTGTAGGATAGCTGGCAAATTCTTCTTTGACTAGCCAATTTCCTCCTCATCTGTGTGGACACCATTGTGAGATTGTGACAGGGCTTACGTTAATACATGCAATGTCCACCATTGATTAATTTGGAATAATTGTTCTTTTTTAGGTGGTGATATTTATTTTCTAAAATTCTTAAGCCACATATATGCATACAAGGAAAACACACACACACACACACCCTTTTATGCCTTTTGACCCAGACTTGTACTGGTAAGATTTCATTAAAGAGAACTAACAGACAACTACTGTAGATAAAGGCAATGTTTGGGAAGTTTACTGGAAAAGGTTTTTTTTTTGGGGGGGGGAGTGTTATTGTCATTATTTGGTGTCTATGAGGGGGAAAAAGGGCCTGAAGACCTCTACCAGTGAGGGTTATTTAGCTAAATGATAACAACCTGGCTTTTTATCTCTTCCAAGAAACCCAACCTGGCTTACATGGTTACCCTCCTCTACATTTTATCTTCACAACAACCCTGCAAGGTAGATTTGGCTGAACATCAGTCCAAAGACACCAAGTTAGCTTGATGGCCCAAGTCCAGTCCCAGCATTCTGACCACTGCATGGTGCTGGTCCTCAAAGGTGCAGGGTTGCATAAGGTCTCTTTCTCCTCCGGCTCCCCCATCTGATCCTTCAAAGTGTAGACAGTTCCAAAACTGGCAAATCCTCCTTAACTAACGATTCAGACAAGGCATGTACACAAAATTCCTCTTAATATCTGAAATAGGACAGGCAGGGGGACTGCCATGGCTATTTCATGACTGCAACTATTGCTATGTCTGTTTGCATATAAATCTAGGCACGGATATAGCAGCTGAAGTCTTCTCACTTCAGACGTTAGCGCATACATGGAGGACCCAACCAGGAAATCTATCGAAATTGGATTACTGATTATCTGAGCTCGATCACGTGTCAGTAAGTCCCGCTGAAAATCCGCGGGACTTACTTCTGGGTAAAGTTAAACAGGATCGGGTTCCCTTGAACGTGCAGCTAGTGGATACGACGAGCGTGCACGTCGGAACGCGAGAAGAGCGGGGAAGGAGAGGGAACACCTGGGAGGCGCCGCTCGGGGAAGTGGGCGTGGCCAGCGCGCCGCGGGCTCCGAAGTTTGCGAGGGAGCCCCGTGCAGCAAAGTGGGCGGGGCCTCGTGCCCCGCCCCAGAAAACTGGGAGATGGGCGTGGCTAGCCGGCGGCCCGGCGCGTGAGCCTCGTTGCCCAGGGTTACCCGCGGGTAAATCAAGAAGCGCCGACGTCACGAAGGGAGGTTCCCTTCGCTTGCCAAGCGCGTTTTCCCTGCCTCCGCCCCGCTCCCCCGGCTGGGATCGGTCCAATGGCAGAGCGCCGAGGTCTGGGCCTTGGGCTGCGCTCCTTCCAATCAGAATGCGACATTCGGGTCAGGTCAGCGTGTCACAAGCTTGGGGTAAAAGCATAAATGCGAATGAAGCGGACCCCAAAGCAATGCAACGCAAAAATGAAGGGCATTTGAGAAAGGAGCTGGGGGTTGCCTGGGACCTGGGAAAGGAGGGCCCGCCGTGTACGCAGGGGGTCACCAGGGCGCCGGCGCTCCATTGCAGCCCCGTAACCCAGGCAAGCAGGGACTGTTCCGAAAACGGGGACAAGCGATTCTTTAGTACAGATTCCAAAAACAGCTAAAAGTTAAAAAAAAAAAAAAAAAAAAACAGCCCGCAGCGGCAGGCTGCGTGCGTGCCTGTAAAAACTAGGGCATTTAGAATTTTGCAAGGGAAGGAGGGGGTAGAGACGGGCCCTGCAAGGTGTCTGCAGATTCTTAAAAAATTAGGAGGTGGAGGAAGATGCCCGCCTATGGAGGATGAGGAGCGGCGCCCGATCTTTCCCTCCCTGATCCAAATGCGTGCGCTAACGCGGTTGCCAAAAGGCAGCTCCGAGCCTCCCCTTCTTGGCCCGAGCGCTCCCCGGGTTCCGTCCTTCCCTTCCTCCGTCCGTCCGTCCGTCCGTGGCGCGCGTCAGTGGAGCTTAGCTCACGCAGCAGCAGCGGCAGCGGGAAAGCCCGGCTTGTTGTGATCATGTGCTTTGGCTGGAGCGTCCAGACTGTGCAAGGCGGGCAGAGCGCCGATCAGACTCTTTCCCAGCCAGCCGGCAAGAGAAGGCAAGGCAGGCCGGCCGGCTGGCGCTCCTCCTCCGCTCGTGTAAGGTGCTGTGCGAAGCCCCGCCCTCCTCCCTCGAGCGAGCCGGACAGGCCCTCCCTCTTCGCTCCCCCCACCCGACGCCCTCACCCCCTGAGGTGCCGCCGGCTCGCCTGGCGGGCGTGCTCTCTCGCGCGCTCTCTCGGGGTACGCGTGTGCGCGCGTGTGTGTGCGCGCGCGTGCCAGTCCCAGGCGCTCTCTCCGCTCGCGGGGCTGGGTGAAGAGAGGGCACCCAAGCGGAGGGGCGAGCAAGAGTGGCGGCCGCCGCCGTTTCCGCCGCCGCCGCCACTTCTCTCCTCCTCCTCCTCCCCAGCATGTTGCCATCCCGCCGGGTCCCCAGAGAGAGGCGGCGCCCGCTCGGGGCGGCACGAGCGCAGCAGCGGCGGGAGGAGGAGGAGGAGGAGGAGGAGAAGCAGAAGGAGGACGACGACGAGGTGACCAAGAAGCAGCGGCAGGCGAAGGCGACGACCATGACGGCCAGGGGGGGCTGTCGCGCCGAGGCCGGCGGCAGCGGCAGGTGCTAGAGGGTGTGCGTGTGTGCGCGGGCGCGCGCTACCTGCCCGCCCGCCCGCCCGCCTGCCCAGCCGGTGCTCAGCCCAGCCGTGCCTGCTCGACGGCGCGGAAAAGCCAGCGAGCGAGCCACGCGCACGGGCGCGGAGGGAGACCACCATGCCGGCGCTAGCCTCGCACCTCCATCGGCACCTCCGGGCACCTTAGCGCCGGCTGGCCGCGGCGCCAGGACGCCTTTCGCTATTCGTCTTCCCAGCCTCCTTCCCCTCCTCGTCGGCGGGAGGGGTCCGTTTCTTCGTCTTCGCCGGCGGAAGCGAACTCGTCCGGGAGGGCACCCACCCCGCCGGCCGCGGCCATCCCCAGGCCGGCTGCTCCTCGCGCCGGAGGAGCCCCCGCGCCCCTCGAAAGCGCGTCGCGCTGCCTGCGCCCGGCGCGCGCCTCCTGCTCATCTGTTGCTTGAACGGGCGTTCCCCTCGCCTCTCGCCCTCGCCCTCCCGGCTCCGTGGACGAAGCAGCCGCCTCTCGCCGCTCCGTGCCCTGCTAACTGAGCCTCCTCCGGGGGCGAGGTGGACTCCCGCCGCTCGCGCGCCCTCCTTTCCCCTCCCCGCCGCTCCCCCCACGACGCACCTTCCTCCCCAAACCCGGCGAGGCAACGTCTCCATATCCCGCCCCCCTCGCGCGCTCTCTCTCTCTCGCTGGCTCGCTCGCTCGCTCTCGCTGTCTCTGCTCGACCCACTTCGGTGCGATGCTGCCGCCGTGGAGCGCCGCTTCTTAAAGCGCAGCCTGCTCCGGGCTTGCCCGTCTCCCGGTCCGAGCTTTCCGTGGGAAATTTACAAAAGGAGGCACCCCCCCCGCCCCTGGATAAAAGAAAGAAAAAGAAGGAAGGCGGCTGCGGGGTGGGGGGGGAGGAACATGGATGAGAAGCTGCAAGCGCATCAGGTTGACATCGACCCGGATTTTGAACCCCAGAGCCGGCCTCGCTCTTGCACCTGGCCGCTGCCTCACCCCGACTTCCCGGGCGAAGAGGAGGATGGAGCTGCGGCTGCCGGCGGTGGAGGCGGCGGCGGCGGCTCCTCCAAGCACCCGTTGGCAGGCGGAACAGAAGGCGCCGAGAACGCCGGAGTGGCGGCCGAGCGCGGTAAAGCCGCCCCGGCGCTGCCTTCGCTGGGCGCGGACGTTGGACAGCTCCGCAAGGCGAAGACCTCGCGGCGCAACGCCTGGGGCAACCTGTCTTACGCGGATCTCATCACCAAGGCGATCGAGAGCTCCCCGGAGAAGCGGCTCACCCTCTCCCAGATATACGACTGGATGGTCAGATACGTCCCCTATTTTAAGGATAAAGGAGACAGCAACAGCTCGGCTGGTTGGAAGGTACCTCGGCGCTCCCCACTCGGCCTCCCCCATAGAGCAGCAGGGGCTCTAGTTTGCGAGGAGTGCTAGTGAAGCCGCTGGGCAGAGGTGGGCTCCAGAGTAGTTGAAGTAGGTTAGTCGCCCAGTTGGCACGCTCCTTCCTCCACCCCCTTGCCTGCCTCTGCGTGCTGGGATGTTGTAAGGGTGGTGGTCCCCCTCCCTACCCCCTTTCCCCTACTTGGAAACAGGTGATTTTAATCCAAGAAAGCTCACAGGGAACAGTGCAGTGGAGTAATTCAGAACTGAGAGTAGTTCTCTCTGTTCCACAGTGCTAGGGCAGAGCGGTTGCCCTTGTCCTGAAGGAGCCAGCAAGTTTTGCCAGGGGCTGTTTTGAGACCAGAGCTCCATTCAAGCCTTGCAGCTTGGTCCAGAGAGCAGTTCTGGGTCTTCTGGGGCTGGGGGAAGGCAGTCCGCTCTGGCAGCCACATCCCATCGATCCTGGAGGCCGGTTTTCTCCAGTGCACCAAGGGAGAAGAGGAGAATCTCTCGACTGGTTCTCGGTGGAGTGGATTCGAGTGCTTCCTTGTTTTGCATCGGTGGTGGTGGTGGTGGAGGAGGAGGAGAGAATGCTCTCTAAGAGCAGCCTGGGCACCACCTGTTCAGCTTCCTGGCTCACCTATCATCCTTCCTTCCGCCTCTCCAGAGCCCTGCAGCAGGGAGCCTGGGGCTGAGAGGAAGGGGCATTACTCCCCTTGGCTCTTTTTGTATTGCATTCAAGCGGCACCTGTCTGTCTGGTACAACAGAGGGAGGGAGACAGACGTAGTTTGGAGTGTTCTTCTAATGCAGTCGATTGATAGGGTGCTGTTTGGACATAGCGCAGGGGGTGTCTTCCCCTTTGGGTGGGTGGGCAAGCTTGTTAGGGTTTTGTGAGATCCCCCCCCCCCCATGCAGAGTGGTTGGATAAACATGCTGTTACTCCAGTGAGAGCTTGTGATCGCTACCACCACCATCCCACACCCTCTCAGAGGTAGTTGGGCACTTAGTGATGGCACTGGGGGTCAGAGCCACTGGGGCAAGAATTGAACGGCTCAGTGCATGTGCCCCTTTGAATGTCTTCTTGGGTTCTTTCAGGTTGAAAACTGAAAGTGTGATCAGGCAGTGCACACGTGTTCGTTGCAAACTCTGCCAGTCCTTCGTACTACATGCAAGGGGCCATGTCTGCTTAGTGAACCCAAATCCGATTTGGTTTCTCTTTCTCCCCTGTCTGTATCTGATGTGTGCAATGCTCAGTTGTTTGCAGAGTTAGAGCTGTGTCTTTTGCTGGGGAATGCTAAGCATCTGCCAGGATCCTGTCCGCCAGGGTGCCCTTGGAAGAGGTTCCTTTCTTTCATGTGAACTGACCAGTAATTAATGTTTGTAGTGGTGTGTGAGAGGAGAGGGGATTCCAATCACCTTGTTGCTCTTTCTGTCTGCCAGTCTTATCCAGGCAGAGTAAGGCAATGTCCCTTCAGTTTTGCCTCTGTTGGCTGAACTCCAGCCTTTTGCCTTCAAATTGTTAAATATTTCTGTCTCCAGTAATTGATTCTCTTTTTATTGTGATTTAGTGCACAGTGGTCCTTTGCTCCCTGAGCTTGCAGTGAAGTGTGTGTATGCATGGGGTGGAGAAGATTCTTCTTTTTCAGTCCACTGAAAGAGAGACTCAACTATAGGTACTTACAAAACCACGCTGCTTGCACATACCTTAAGTTGCTGGTGATCACGTCAGGAAGGGGATAAAAGCATGCACAATATTGGAACCAGAAGGTGATGCTGTAAAAGGGTGGCAAGTCTGCTTCATTTCCTTTTGACTTTTGCTAATGGATGGTCTGCTAATTCAGGGAGGGCCCATGCTGGCATTTGGACTAATCTCATAAGCATTACTGGGACCTGGATTTGCCCTTCATATCCTCTTCTCTGTGTTCTGGCTAGTTGTGATTACTGCTGAGTAATCAAGAGTTGCATGTGTGTTTGCATGCTCAGGTGGCATGATGTTGTAGACAGGGAGACATTTTTCTCCCTTTTCCGTAATATAAAGCTGATTAGAGGGAGATTCAGGACAGGGAAAAGGAGGTACTTCTCTGCACAACACTTAGTTAAAGGATGGAAGTCATTTCAGAGGGATGTAGTGATGGCCACCAAGTTGGACAGCTTTAAATGGCCCAGTTGAATTGGAAAAATGCATGGAGGAGGAGGCTATTAATGGCCACCCCAGTATACCTATGGGCAGTCATTTGTGCAGATGCCGTAAGTCAGACATGACCTGATGACCTGTAACAACAAGCACAACAGCAGCATGGGGGACATGGGCGGGGGCGTCGTTGCGCTCCTGTCCCGCTTGTGAGTTCTGTGGGCAGCTTGCCCACTGTGGAAAACAGAATGTGGAAAACGCTAGATGGACACCTGCTCTGCTCCAGCAGGGCTCTTGCTCTGTTCCTATGGACTTGGAGGGCTGTGGGGCTCTGGGCCTTGTGAAGAGCCCTGACGGGCTGGAGAGCAAGGGTCTGTTAGCCATAGGAACATCCTTGATACCAGAGCAGAGGCTATTTGTTCACCTAGCCTGGTTTTGCTTACTCTCACTGGCAGCGGTTTCTCCAGTATGAACCAGAGCAGAGCTTTCTTCATTACATAACCTCCTAGTCCAACAACTTCTTTCCCCCACTGACCATCCAAATACTTCTGTGAAGCCCACAAGTGGGATGTAAAGGCAGTCGTTCTCTCCCAGTGTTTGCCTCCCAGCTCCTTGGATTTAGTAGTAGGCTCTCTCTGACTAAGCACTGCTGCTATAGAGATTCTCTTGGGGCTTGAACAGGAGTCTGCATAAACCCAGCTGCAATTAATGGTCTTTCTGTATCAGCAGCATCCTATAGCTGTGTCTCTGGAACTGTGTCTTGCATTTGGGTCTGGGAGTCCCCATCTGAAATCTGGGGCAGGCTTGCATTGAGCCATTAGTCTGCAGGTAAGACAAAATAAGCTTTCTTCATGGTTGTTGCGTGAGTTGGGAACAGAGTTGTGGACCTTTGCTGCTGTTCTTCTGAATTCCACAGTCACTGGAGTTATGAGCTCTTCCCATGCCTATCTCCTCACAGCAAAAAATACTCCAAGATAGGAAGCGCCTCAAAGGGGCAAATTACAGTGAGACTTGTTTGCTGCAAATGCACGTTCCTTTCATTCAAATAAAAGCGGAACTGAGCAGTGTGTGAATTCCACATTTTCACAGCAGCTAGCACTGGCAAGAGCAATCTTATTATGTGTTGCAGGGAAAGGGTTGCGTGCTGCACCTTGGAGGGAGCCATGTCCAAGAGCACCTGGATTTCTTCCAGACCTGAACCAAACTCTGCTGTTTCAGCATTGTCCTAGGCAACTTGTATTGCAGGCTGCAACCTGAAGAAGGGCAAATGGCTATCATGGTTTGCCTCAAAGAGCTGCAGCACTTCACGGGCCATGCCAGTCTCTTTTATAAGGGGAACTAGAATGGACCAAAGTCTCTTGTTCATCTGGAACAGAGAAGTTCTTCAGAAACATGTCTCACCCCTCCAAATCAAAGTTGTCTGCACTCATCCTTGAAGGAATCAGTTTTGGTCTTCTCGGGTCTCAGGTTATGCTAGAAGTGGCTGCATTCAGCAGGGTAATAAGATGACTTTCTTGCCACCCCACCCCACCCCATCCCACTCCTTTCTTGGGACCTATTGCAGCACTGACTTTTCTGTGGTGAGAAATCCCATGCATGGATCTTCGGAACACGATGAGAACACTTTTCGGTCCTGGGCTCTAGAGCTGGGCCAAGTGCTGTGGGTGTGTTGATACATTTGGCCTCCTGATATGCCATGTGGTGGTGGCAGGGAGCATGCAGTGAAGCACAGGGATGAAGCCCCAGCTGAGATGATAAGAAGATACAGACATCCAGGGAGCAGCCCAAAATACTTATGCACGGAATGCCGCGATTTCCAGGTTCTGCCTCCTGCAGACCTTTAACAGCAAGACCTGGCACATCAGAAGTGGTGGCTTAAGGAACACAGCAGCCAGACGCTTCCACAGCTGGAGAAGCTGGAAAGCAGTCTGTCGCTGGAGGACGGCTGTAGCTTGGTTGGGGCGCCGAATGATTCACAGTGTATGTTTGTGCCTCGTCCGCTCATGTCAGGATCATTGAATCATAGAATAGGAGAGTTGGAAGGAAGGGGTCAGGAAGACCATCGGGTCCACCCTGCTGCTGCTGCTGCAGGTCACCAGTGTACACTATCCCACTCAGGTGACTGTCTAGGAAGGGACATGAGATGAGATACAGATCGCCTGCTTTGCTTTTACAAGCGCTCACGGTTAGTCCCCTGCCTCTCCCGGTAGGGCCGAGGAGAGCTCCTGTCTGAAACTCTGGAGGCAGCAGAACGCAGTGGTCTGACTTGATCTAAGACAGCTTTGTATGTTTCACACCAAGGCTCATGCTCACTTAGCAGGCCTGCTGATCTCCTCAGCATTTCCAGATGTGCCACAGGAAGTGCAAAACCAGGGAAATGCTCCTGCATGTTAGATCCTGAAGAGCCCAAAGGTCACCCCCTGTGTGTGGAAATGCCCTGCACACCAGCATTCTCAGCATATCGAGCCGTTCTCTGTTGCAGCTTGCCCTCAAGTGGTGGTTCTCAATGTTTGGTGCAGGATATAGATTGTCTACAGCTCCCATCATCCCTGACCATTGGCTATGCTGACTCAGGATGATGGCAGCATTATTCCAACATCTGGACTTCCAGAAGTCAGCTGGTACATGCATGTCCACTCCAGCCTCCCACCTTGAACTGCTGGGGAAACCAAGCAGGGAAAGGCAAGAACAGCTTCGATGCATTGCAGCCAGCATCCAGACCCGATGGTTGATGAGACGGTGGCTTGCATTGGTGCACACTGGAAAGATGAGGGTCCTAAGTGGGCATCGGGGCACAGACACTGGCAGATCTCACCAGATCGGAAGGAGATGTGATAGGCAAACTTGCCCAGA